TAAAGAGCAGGCCGTGCTGATGTGCAAGCCTGTGGGAGATGAGAAGGAGAAGATGGATTGAGCCCTCAACACAACTGAGTATTAACAGCTTCTGGTAGTGGACTTTTATATGATTGTTTTTCAGAAACGCTTAAGTTGTGGTTGAAATTGGTTCTTTTAGGTTTTGTGCTCTCAGGTTAGAACTGGATGTGTTTGAATAGAACATGAAAATTCTATAGAGGAAAGTATTGTGAAGACCTGGTTAACGCTACCTGTCTTGATTATACAAATGCACCAGTAGTGCCCTCAGAAAACATGCCTTTGGTATCTTGCTTTAAAATTTTCAGGTCTTGGAATAAAAATCCATTGCCTCAAAGTTTGATTATAGTAACTCAGATTAAGACAGGGAAAAAAAATGTGCTAGTTACTTGCCAGTTCTTCCCCACAAAAACAAGGGAGTGAGTAACACAGCGTTCCTCCCAAGACCAGGTTGTGCAGGCACGCTCAGTAGAATAACTTGTAAAACTTCGAGTAAGCCATCACGTTTGCTAACCTCTGCTCAAGTGGTGCAGACAGTGTTTGAGCTGGAACACAAGCCAGTTTGGTTTTCAGATAGGCTGATTTTTTGTGTTGGGGCTGTGTGTGTGTGTGTGTGTGTAAGCAGACAGATATTAAAACTACTTATTTTCACTCTCATTGTTTGCTTCTGATTGCTGTATTATTCTCATGTGAATCATTTTTATATCATGTCTTATTAATTATAAAACATATGAATTATTAATACGCCTTGCTTACATTGACTCATAAGGCTGGATATGTGGACATCAGAGTTTACCTACCTTGTTGAGTATCTCATGATACTGAGAATTTGATCAGGCTTTGATGGTTTACTCTTTGGGTTTTTTTCTGAGATTTTTCCACCCCTCTGCCATGTGCCATTAGATTGCTTGCAACTATGAGAAGTTTAAGCACAGATATCACAGATATCAAGGGCCCAAAAGAAAGCATTTTGTCAAAGCAGGAGCTGTGCAAAACATGGTATCGTAAGGGTACAAACCCCAAATGAGTTTTGAAGTCAAATATTAAATATTTTTTTTTCCATTTGCTGTTCATTTCAGTAACAGCCCAGAAGCACTTGCTAGAATAGAATTAGCCAGATACATATTTTATCATAGAAAAAACTTCTCTAGGTTTTTCCACAAACTTACAACCTTGGTCGGGATAAATACCTGCCAAGGTCTGAAGCAGATGCCTGACTTTGGCACCCGGCTGCCTTTGCTATTTGTCCTCCTGTACACAGCACCGGCAGTTCCTGTTCTCGTTTGTCACTTTTGGATGTACTGCATCAAATTCACAGTTCTGTTTGCTAAACCAATTGTCATCTTGATTAAATGCATGCTATATATGTGTTTGAGTGCTCCTGGCTTTGGCATGTGAAATGATTGGAATGAGCTGTTGAAGAAGAGTGTTGCCTAGAGTCTGATAAGAAAAGTAATTTTTCTACATGTGGATGATAGTGGTTTGATTTGACTTTCTGAGGACTGAATTAATTTGTACGTACTGTTTGGTGTTGTAATGCAGTACTGTTAACCAGAACAAGCAAAACTGTTATTTTGATTTTGGTTTAGTTTTTTTCTTTTTTTAATACCCAAAGCTATTAATAATATTTTCCACAAGTGTTCATTCTAGATACACCATCTTTTGAAAAATATCTAACCATCACTACAGTCACCACATAGCAGTGGTCTTCTGTTTACTGATTCAAAAGTTCCTACGAACAAGATATTCATTAAGCCCCAAATCTTGTTGTCATTTTAAACCAGATGGTGCTTCATACTGAAAGCACCTCTTCCATCAACCATGAGTGAAATTACAAGGAACTTGGCAAGTACTGCCAGATAGCTGGCACGTATGGATTTGCTCCTATCTCATCATACCTAAGTATTGTTGACTATTTTTATTTAAAGTTTCCAAGCATAACTGTATAAACTTAAGGTTTTTTGTACAGTAAAATCAAATTCCTATGTTGTGAATCCACGTAGCAGGTCAGCACAGGGAGGCTGCTATGATGTTAATTCACTCCCTTGTTAGTGCACATTAATCCTCCATGTAAGCAAGCCCTTACTTAAGCTCATTTCAGTGTAAACCGTTTTCACAAGATGAGCTTGCATCCATGACCAAAATCAGAGCTTCAGCTATTCTTATATGCATCTAATGTAAATGAGAAAAACATTTCTGAATTCAATCCATTATTTTCTATCCCTACCCATTGAAGGAGACCTGCACTTGCCCTCCTTTTTTAACCACATTTTTGTGTTCTGCATTGCAATCTTTATTATTCTTACCAGCTGGAAAGCAGAAACAGATGGGTCCGATTATTTGGACATCATTTTATCACTGAAAAATCAAATTATAAAAGCTTTCTTAGAATAACTTTCCTCATCTGTTAAATTTTCCATCTTTATTTTGGGAGAAATAGATCAAGTTTATGTTTCTATCTAGTGTCTGCTTCCTTTGCCAGCTAGTTGAGGGACAGCAGTTATTTGTTTATCCTCCATTTGCCTGCAGATCTGTTAGTTACCCTGCCAGGAAAGCCCTCCAAGCAGCCACGTAGGTGACAGCATATTGATGTTGTAGTCACATCGCATATAAGGGTAAGGCCACATCATCGTTTATGTGAGTTGTCAGGTCTAGCATCCCATAGGGTCAAAACACAAGTGATTGTAGTGTTAATTTAAAAGGAGCCAAACAAAGCAAGTACAGGATAAGCAAGTATGCCAGAAGCTGGCCCTGCTGCAATTACTGGCATCTTCAAGGGCTGCTTATTTACATTTTTATTTTTGACTGAAACAATCAGGTCTTTCTGGACAGTGTCTTTAAAATCTAACTTTAGGAAATGGATGTGCCTTCAGCAGAGTGCTTGGGATTCTGTCCCAGGACCACAAACGGAAGGTGGAAAAGCCAACCTGGGGGAAAAATGGGCGGGTGAATACATCTCACATGAGCCCTTGAAAACTCACTTCACCCATTAAAGATTCAATATATTGGTTGAATAATACGTAATGCCTGCCTTCATTATCTTTATGTTAAATCAAATCATTAAAGAGGAGGAGCAAGACTGTGGTTTATACAGAACAGGTTTTTCATTCTATATTACATGGCTGCGAAGATACTGAGCACCCATAAACCCAATTTATTGAGATAGATGTGCTGAATCCAGGGCAGCCGTGCATTACCATGGCAGTGTGAAACAGCTGAAGCTGAGGAAGCATTTCACAGCATGTCTTTTATCTTTGTAAGTTTTCCAATTGCATTTAGCAATTAGAAAATTTCCACTAGTTTAATGAGATTATTTTTTATCAAAGTTGAGGTTTTCTGTTGAAATATATATAGGCACACACATAGATATGTACATTTATCTTCTTAGATCCAAATTACAGTGTTATAAATGGATTTCAGCCTTTATCAGTTTGCCACTTTTCATACAGCTGGATGCCTGCCACATCCTGCTGTCTAAGGGTAACACCGACAGAGTGAATAAGTAGCTGTCTTTTCATTCAGATCTTAAAGTTGTTCTTAACTGCTGTTAACATTGCAGCAGAAGTGACCATGGTATTTTATGGACTCCCCTGAAGGCAAGGTTCTTTCTCCAAAGCTTGTGTAATCTAAACATCCCTCACTTTAGACTCTCGCTGAGATTACAGGGTCTGTGTAATCCCTGTTATTTATTGCCTTCCAGATTCTACTCTGTAAGCATCAACAGTTTATATTTCTTCCAGTATTGCCAACAAACTGCAATCTGAGTTTACAAATGTGTCACATGAGACGTTTTTCAGCTTTTGACACAGCTCACCACCCGTAACCGAATAAATGAGGCCAAAATGTCCAAGTCAGCTTCTCTTCAGCAGAGAGATAAGGCGAGAAACCTTTTGGTGTGAAGTTCATAGTCCATTTCTCAAATGAGTTTCTGCAACAGTGATAAAATAAAGCATAATGCATATGACAGGCAAATACTACTTGCCCTGAACTGCTGCATCTATATATTAACCCTCTAAACAGGGGTAAATCCTTAGCACGCCTGACAGATAAGCTGGAAAGGGAGAAAAAAAAAAAAAAAAGGATCCTTTTCCTTTCTTCCCAGTTTATCCTCTTTGGTATGCACTGCCAGAAATGAGGCGGGGCACCCATGTGGTGCACCCACGCTGCTAAGAAGATTAGGTTTGAGAGAAGAGGAAAGGAGTTTAACATGGTTAATTTGCATGCTGCCCAGGCAGCCCTGCTCAGAGAGCACTGCGCCGTCGGTGCCTGGTGCCACTGAGCGGCCATGGCTTTGTTTCCTCACTGGGCCACCTCCCTGCGCGCTGCCCGCTCTTACACTGCTGCTCGCACCTTCCTCGAGTTTAAATGCTGCATAGCGTGATGTTTTCCCTTGCTGCCTAATCGCTGGGAATAGCAGTGACAACCCCCTGCTGCGGCCAGCACCAGCAGACATTCCCTTTAATTTCCTTTTACTTTTTTTTTTTATATTTGGCGAAGTGTCAGGTTGGTGGTAGCCATCCTATTATGGGTAGAGTCTGTCAGACCACCGAGAAGGCTTGCAAGCAGCTTTCTGCTTTGAAGCCATAGCTTTTTTACCATTTTCTACCTCACTTCAGCCCTAGGAGCTTTGCTGTCAGCGTTTCTGCTCCAGACCCGCTGCTCTGCGGATGCTCGGGGTGTGCTACGCAACTCACCGGGCACTTCCTATCATTGAAAGCAACCCATCTGTGGGAGTACCCACAGTGGGACCATGCAGTTAAGGGGATAATAGCCACAGGTAGAACTGTTGTACACAAAGAAAGCTGGAGTGTGTGCACTTCATAGGTGAGTAAGAAATAATAGAAGACAGAAAGGAGAAGCAGCAGTATGGGAGATTAGAAGCTAGCAACAGGGGAAAAAGAAAGTCTGTTCTCACCATTTTCAAATGCCTGCTTAAATGCTACCAGTGATAAGTATCATTCTGAACCTGTTCTGTCACCCAGCTCCTCTCCCGCAGGCCAAAATCAGCCTTGTCCCACACCCGACACGTCGCTGCACAGCAGCAAAATAAGGTGATGCGAAGCAGATCCCCCGCTGTGACAAGATGCCATATCTTTGACTGAGCTGTCCAGATGTGACCGCGTGTGTGAGCACTCTGTGTGGCTTAGCTGCTTTTGACTCGGTAAATAAGAATCTTCATCAGGAAATTCAGACTCTTCTCATCGACAATGTTAATGAGAGCTGAGAGGATTAGCTGTAGGCTGCCCTGCCCCGCTGCTGAATTTAGCCAGTGATAAATCTGAATTTGCTTAAAAAAACACCCCCAAAAATGTAGAGAGTTGGTGGGGTTTTATTCATGTGCTGGAGATAAAGGGCAGTGCAAGAGGTGTCAAGACAATTTAATGTATTTGTGCTTACACTTGCAATGCTGCTACTGCTGTTTTAGTTCTGGTCCACTACTGTTTCCATGGGGAATTCCCAGGTTTTGCAGCACTGTACATCACTGGACAAGGAGCTTGGGGAGACCCAGGGGATTTAATATTTGTAAGTGTGGGATTTGGCATCATTGCTCCTAATAAAACCAAAGTATGATGGGCTATTCCATGCTGAACTGAGGTTTGTGTTGTCAGCTAGCTCTGTACCCCAAAGTGCAGCAGTTACCCAGAGCAAGTTTTATGCTAGCACATCTTTGCCCTTTTCACATCATCATCATAACTTCCTTAGTATTTTTTTCCAGTCTGTTTTCTGTTGTTTTTTTAATATAAATAAGTACTGTTAAACTAAGGAAGGCTACTTGAGGGAAACTTGATTACATGGGATGTGAGAAGAGCTCAGAAATGTGTATTTGATTTGCACAAACTGTGGAAGCGAATGGAATAAGTGTCCTGAATGGTCTAAATTTTCCTTTTCCTCTATTTTCCACTCAGGGTTTGAACATGGGCACGCAGTCCTACTCTGTTACTAAGGCAGAGATTCCCGACCATGTTCTTTACACCGTAGGAACGTGTGTGCTCATTATTGGCTCCATTGGCATCATCGGAAACCTCCTAGTTCTCTACGCGTTTTACAGGTACAAAAATTCCTTTTACAGTTAACCTGTCTGGCCTTGAGGTTCATGTGTACCTGCATGCAGATGTTCTGCATTGGTTCCCTCTTGGATTAAATCTCCAAGCAAAGGCTGATAGCAACAAATGGTGGGGAGGAGGGAGGCAGGCAACCTCCCCCCCCCATCCATGCACATCACTGGTAACTTCAGTGTAAATTCCTTATGCTTTAAGAAACCAAAGAAAATGAGAAAATAAATACCTCGTTCTATAAAGAATTCCAGTTGAAAGTCAAAAGAAAAGTTTAATAATTTTAATGGTAGAAACCACAGTCTTCCTGTTGCAAACTTCTTCCCTCACCCCGTAGAATTTGCAGAAATACTTTACAAAACCTGACATTCTTCCCAGCAGTGCAGATGCCCTGGAAAGACCAAGAAAGCAATGTGCTACATGAAATGAGCTTATGCCATCAGTATATTCCCTGCTCCAGGCAGATCATAGGATTTCTGTCAGTTTGTGTGCTTGCTTGACTTCTGACAGTGTTATAGAGAGCCAAAACCACTGCAAATACCATATACAAAAGTCTCATGGAAAAAATAAATAGCCGACTTCTGTTCCATACTGTGGTGGGACACAAAATCCTCCTCACTCACTACTTGCTGTCATCATACATGTTGATACAGAGGGGGGTTACAATGCTAGAAACACAGGTGGGGTTATGAAGAGTTAGATTCCTATTCTTAAATGTTTAAGACAAATAAATTAGTGATTTTGAATAACTGGCCCTTAATATGACATAGAGGAGAAGCTGGATTCACTGCAACCATAGATACCTTCATGATTTTTGAAATGCAGCACAAGCTCTCCATTTTTCCTGAAATCTGTTTTTATTTTTTTTAGCTGGTGTAATAAAAGCATTAAATTGTCAAAGTAGGAAAATTGCCATAGGCAGATGAGCACCTGTGAAGATGTGAACTCTGCACCCTCTCTCACCCAGTTGTTGCAGGTAGTTATGAGATCTAAGATTTTGTTAGAATTGCAGCAGCATTGAGATGGTTTTCTCAATTTCTTTTGCAGTATTCCTTTATGAGCATGAGGAAACAAATTCATGTTATCTGCAAATCCTGGTATCTTAGAGCACATCAGAATGGCCTCAGTTGTTCTGAAGGAGGCATTTAGGGGAAAAGAAACAATTATCTCAAACTATTGAGAATTACTGCATTCAGGTTGCACGAACAAAGCTATTTCTAAAATCCTGCTTCCTCTCTACGTCTCACAGAGTGTGCCAAGTCATGTCTTTTTGTCTTATATGTACCTAACACTGTGAAAAGTCCTGATTTCTAACTCAAAGTATCAAAGCTCTTTACCTCGCCATGCAACCAATATAGTGGTTCACAGTGAGGGACTGCTAGTTTAGCATTACACCTTCTCAGTATATCCCTTAAAAGTGACAGTTTTAAGGTAGATTGGGGTGAGCTGAAGTCACAAATTAATTTAACTTTCCTAGTGGCACTGTTGCTCTGTTGCTCATCAGAGCAACAAGGGCATATTCAACCAAATAACCTTAGGTAAAAGCGCGAGGTTTTTTTATCATGTTACTGGTATCTTTATTCCTCTTATCCAGAGCCAAGGGTAATCTTGAATACCAGCTGAAAGTTTCTGAGGAGGTCGTAACTCCAGATATTCCTAAGAAGGGAGACTATGTGAGGTGGTGAGATGTGGGGAAAAAACCTGGAACTGATGTTTGTTTTCTTTGGATAAACTTTGCTTGCAGACTGGCTGCTGCTTTCACACTCCTTGTTGTGGCATTTAATGTTGTCTGTTCATCTGCAGCTGAGAGCTTTTGTTCTCTCTTATATGTATATGAACAAAATCTCTGTGCAATCTCTGCTTGTACCACAGCATTTTGCAAAGGGTCATTTAGTTAGTGGTAGTAATGTAGTGACTCTTTGGGTTAACAGCTTTTAAAAATTCACCAAAAGCAGGTCCTTTGGCTCTCTAACCTGCTTTGGATCCTGGTCTTGTGCAGTACAGGACATGCTCAGTGTTACTGCACTTGTAGGCAACAGCTTTTCTCCTGAACAAATCCATGTTTTTCAAGACAGATGGATTTCTCCTCAGTTTGAAGAAACAAGCCATATTTTTCAAGATAGTTGGAATTCATATTTTTTCAAGACAGCTAGAATTTTAAACAAATAAACAAATCCATATTTTTTGAGACAGCTGGAATTCTCCTCAGTTTGAAGAAACAATCCATTTTATCCCCCCTGCTATTTTTAGTCATCATTTTGAAATGACCGCATCTGTAGCTGAAGTAATTGATTGACAATTAGCAGTTGATTGACTGTAAGTAACCACCAATTCCAACCCGGATAGTATTTGTTTATGCTAGTAAGCAAAATTATAAATTTAACTGTTCACTTTGTCTATTTTAAATCACGTATTTCTCATGTTTTTAAGCAACAAGAAACTGAGGACATCCCAGAACTACTTTATAATGAATTTGGCTGTGAGTGACTTCCTGATGTCAGCTTCTCAGGCACCCATGTGCTTTGTCAACAGCTTGCACAGAGAGTGGATACTTGGAGATATAGGTACTTTTCCACACTAATTCATACCTCACCAGCTCTAAGCAGTCTGCAGCATATTTTAGCCATAACAATCTTGGCTTGTGCCATGGAGACAGCAGCACAAAACTCTTGAGTGACAACCCCAGTTCTTGACATCATCAGTCAGCATGATGGTACATGTTTTGTGTCATAGGTTTGATTTTTTCATCTTACTTATTTTAGAAAGAAAGGGGTCAACATCAACATGTAATCACATTACTCTTCAGCTTATAAGGGCAGATGTTATGTCTGAAGATGGGTAGAACAGTTTTAAGTTGTAAATATTTTTTTCTGTGTTAGTTTAAGAGGGAGTTAAATCCATTAGCATACTTCTAGAAATCCCACATTTAATTAAGAGATGTAAATAATGACAGTCAGTTTAGGACTCTGCAGATTTAAACTCCTTTCTTTCCAACTGCAAGAAAGAAAAGGTGATACATGCTCAAATTATAGATAAAATGTGAGTATAGCATGTTCATCAGAAGGCTCGATGATCTGCTTGGTACTGCTCATCACATCAGTGGGAGAATATTTGCACCAAGTAGTAGTTGTGTGTTGGTGGAGCAAGCCCAAAGACCATGTATTATTTAATGGCACAGAAGGGGCTCTTTAGTTCAAGGATGTTTTTAGACTTACTCGTCCCCTTAGATAGGATCAGTGTGAATTATCATGCTGCCACAAATGAAGCCGTTGATTTGAGTTGAGTGTCATTTGGTCCTTAATTGCAGGTTACTTATCAGACTTCTTCTGAAGTTTGTATTTAAGGTTGAATCTCATATTTTGACTGCCTCCCATTCCTGGTGGGCCGTCGCCTGTAATCATATGGGGTGACCCAAGATCACAAAAGTGAATGATCATTCAACACACGTTTCTGAATCAAGTTAGGGACAGTGTATCTCTGCAAGTTTTCATCTGCAAGCACAATGACTTAATGCAAAGAGGGGGGGAAAGTCCTGTATCATGTAAAAACTGTCGGGTTTTTTAAAAAGTGTTGCTGATAAAAATAGGAGCTGGAGCTATGTTTTACATCTGACCTTTTAGCCATCAAGTTTAAACCACTTCTACATTTTTAAGCCACATAAACCAAAGTCACTTTTTGAAACACCCATCTGTCATAACAGACTGCAGCAGAAATCTGTCTCTTAAAGATCAATATATTGGGCAACAGTCCAGGCAAATGTAACTTTAATTAGATTGGATTTTTCTTGAGGCAGTTTTCCATTGACAAAAGGTTCCCAGTTGCAGCCTGCAGTGGAGAGTAGGACTTGCTAAGTACATATGTTTGTATTTTAATATTTATGATTTTTTCTAATAAACATCTAATAACTATGAAATCGTGAGGCTAAGAAAATTCTTCTAACGGGAGAGAAGACCTGAGCCAGGAAAAAAGTGGGAGGTTTATCATGTCAGGCTCTGAGAGAAAATTTGTGTCTGTTTTAAGAAAATCGCTGACATTGCCATTTTCTGCTTCAGGCTGTGAATTGTACGCTTTCTGTGGGGCACTCTTTGGAATAACCTCAATGATGACTTTATTAGCGATCTCTGTTGACCGCTACCTTGTGATCACTAAGCCCCTGCGATCCATACAGTGGACTTCAAAGAAGCGCACCGTGCAGACCATCACCGTCGTGTGGCTGTACTCGCTGGGATGGAGCGTGGCTCCGCTCTTGGGGTGGAGTATGTCGTCCGGTCTCTATCTCTTCTGACGTTCCCTATGTGGTCTGTTTCAGCCTTGTTCGGGGTATAACAAAACGAGGTTTTGGCGAGTCCTTGGGTGGATGCTTAGCCACCACCTGATGGCTTGTTGTCATGCTGTCTCTCTGCACCTATTGCAGTGCGGATACCCTCCTCCCTGCTGCCCCCAGGTTGTATACAAGCAGAACAAATTGCAGATGGAGTATTAGATGTATCTGAGAGTTTGGCAGTCGGGATCTCCTCTCCACATGTGCACTCTCATTCTCAGACCACATGTATAATACAGCCAGCGTAGCTCTTGAGGACTATGTATACAGTACAGGGTTTATTTTAAGTGCTCAGTTGCTGGATCAGCAACTGCACAAGCTTTGGGTGTATGTTTGAATAATGTATTCCATGTATTTCATAGGTTCCTATGTGCCTGAGGGCTTGATGATATCCTGTACGTGGGACTATGTAACCTACTCCCCTGCAAACAGAAGTTACACCATGATTTTATGTTGCTGCGTGTTTTTTATTCCCCTGATAATAATATTCCATTGCTATTTATTTATGTTCCTGGCCATAAGACGTACTGGCAGGTAAGCAATGTAGCTGAAATAAGTAAATCTCTCTTTTCTTGTATTAGAAGATTTTATCAATTTTTTTAGCTGCACAAAAATATGAATCAAAAATTAATCTGAATTGAAATTGGAAATAAAGTGGCAGATCATTAATGGCTGTAACTGGATAAATATTTTTGACAATGAAAAACTGGAATGGATGTATGTATTTTGGAATAGGGAAAGAAGTCTCTGGTGGTTCTAACCTTATCGTAGAGTAAATGGTAATTAATAGTATATCAGATAATTTGGTAGTTTGGATTATCTGTATTTCAGATTTGCAATACAAAGAACATGGTCCTGTGCGTTCCAGCACAGTTTTCAGCCCCAAGGGATGATAAATAGCATGTAGCAATGGGGACATCATCTGCCCTTGAGCTGCTCTGTAAACATAACAATCCTCATATTTTTTGACAGTTTTATTTAAGGCAGGCATCCCAGAAAACCTCGTGGTCCACTCAAGCATCACAACTACATGCACAATAGATGGCTATGGTTCTTAGGATACTTTTTTTTTTTTTTTTTCCAAAATTCTTGGTCTATATTTGAAATAAAACATCAGCATAGTGTTAGATCTGTAAAGTAACTTCATTCTGTTGGTTATTTTTTTCCTAATGAGTACATGACTTATCTTTGGTCTTATCCAGCACCAGCTGGAGTTGTGAGTCCTTCCCAATGCTCGCAGTGTCAGTAGCTCCGAGAGCTTTTCTCTGTGCCTATCTGCAGGCACTTGTCAAAGTCATTCAACAACGCTGAATTCCATTTTTGCAAGCATGCTTAGCTGTATCTCTAAACTGAAGTTCTCACCAAACTCTATTTTTTGGCCTTGGTCTTGGTTTTTACTATGCTTTGTGTATGCATATTTGATACCAAGCAAAGGAGCAAAGAATGCATCCTTAAAAGAATGATGTCTTGTACACCCATGAAGCACTGGCCACAAGATTTTTCTATGCCTTTTGCCCATTAACACAATAAACTCACTTTACGAGTATGCTCACAGTGCACCAGGAAGAGGTTTGTTACCCTACTGGCTGGTAATTACTGTCTTCAGCCTGAAATATATCTTTTCTTAACAACACTGATACGTTAAAATTTGTTATTCTAGTGCTATGCTATATAAAATGCTAAACCGTATAAAATCATTTCTTTTTAATAGTGTGGGGTGTTTGTTTGATGTGAGAAGAGAATTTGATGGGACATTTTATGGCAAAAATGTAGTACTGCCTGTTGTACTCCCCCCTGAAAGTACTCTTCTTCAGTGAATAAATCTGCAGGGAAGTAAAAATGTCCCTGTAAGCATTTGGGGCCAGATTCCTCAGAGTAGTCAAGGTATTCAGGCATGTTACCTCATGAGCTACAATTTCTGCAAGCTGTTCCTCCCTTGAAAAGGAAAAACCATAACATTTTATTTTTGCATCCAGCTGTGCCTTTGCTTGCTCCACCTCTGAGAGCAATGGAGGGCAAGGGGGGACTAATTTCTTCACCCTCCCAACCTGAAACTCTCCTTGTGTTACGATAAGGACAGAGCAGTTCCATCCTGTAGTCCCAGGGGTTCTTCTGGATCAGTCTCACAGGTAAACAAAGCTCAGACAGAATGCCTAGGACTATTTTACTACATTAATTACCTTCTAAAGTTTTTAAATGTCAGAGGACAAAAGAAGAGTTAGAGCAGGGAAAGATGAAATCTGCTTAATTTTGCATATTTTTGAGAATGTATTAGAGAGGTTGCACCTTGCTTTTTCACTCTCCTGATGACATATCTGCATTTTTTTCCCCTCTCAGAGATGTTCAAAAACTGGGGTCCTGCAGCCGGAAATCCTACCTCTCTCAGTCCATGAAGAATGAATGGAAGCTGGCAAAAATTGCTTTTGTGGTCATCATTGTGTTTGTCTTGTCCTGGTCTCCGTATGCTTGTGTCACCCTGATTGCCTGGGCAGGGTAAGCAGAAATGTAATCAAAAGAGTATGGATTATTCTGAACTATAAATATGATCAGTAGTCGCTCACAAGAAGCAGATTTCCCTTTTGAAAGGGTTTTAAATACTTACTACATTAGAGGTGATATTGCATTCTTCACTACATCCTTGTGAATAAAGCCAGAAAAGGGATTATTTGTCTATGTATTTTAGAACTATTATGACTTTTTAACAGCTTTTTTTGGTATGCATTGTTTCTTCTCCCTCATAATACTTTCCTTGTATGAATTGTAGGAGTTACCTCTATCCTCTCCCAATATATGTTCTCTCAAGAAGCTTCCTCCATACACTGCTGCCTCTGACAGAGGGTAGAAAAGAGGTTATAATCCCTGATATTCAGCCCATAGCACCCGTCTTCCTCCAACTGCTCTCCACTTCAAGGGATCTTTTGTCTTGTCAGTGCATGTTCTTTATTTCGAGGTCAGGTTGGACGAGGTTTTGAGCAACCTTATCTAGAGAAAGCTGTCCCTGCCTGTAGCAGAGAGTTTGGACTAGGTGATCTTTAAAGGTCCCTTCCAACCCAAACCATCCTGTGGTTCTATGATATTAATCGTGCTTATCCTGCGCTGGTGTTAATCACATGTGACTGACTGTGGGAGCTTAAAGTGAAGAGGAGAATATTGGTTTCAAACCACTTCCAGTGCTCTCTTCCTTCTGCAGTGTTTGCAACTGAGTCATTGACACCCATTACTGTGCAGCATGGATGGTGCTGCTGAAAGATTTTTAGGTTGATTCTGTTTTCTTTTTTATTGCCATTCCCTTTTCCCGGATGGTCACAGTGGGGGTAGTTTTGGTGTTTTTTTTTGTCTAGTGTAGAAACAGAGAAGGTGATTCTTTGTGTTCCTGGTCATCCTTAAATAGATTGCTTGCATGTCTTTCATCTTCTCCAAATGAATGAAGCCAAGTGTGTGCTGTCAAACACAAGCCTTTCATTTGAGCAAAGAATACATTTGAATGTATTAACATTTCAGGCATATTTCTCGTAAAAAGATCACAGCACAAAAACAGTAAGAAAAGAGTAATATGTTTTGGTAATTTAGTGATAATCCATGGCTTAGCTGTGTGTAATGTTTCTGCTCTGTTTTAGTCGAGGCAACACCCTAACACCGTATTCCAAATCTGTGCCAGCAGTTATTGCCAAAGCTTCTGCAATCTACAACCCTATCATATATGCAATAATTCATCCAAGATACAGGTACAGTAAACATGTGTGTAACTGTACGTGCACGTGTTCTTTACAGTGAAGGAGCTGTCCTCATTCCTTCCGCCCCACCCCACGCAGTGCGCGCTCCCGCCCTGACCACCCCATGATGGGGTCCGGGTGGTCAGACCCTGCACCACGTCCACCTGGTACGGGGCAGCCCAGGCTGCACGTGGAGCTCTGGGCACGTGGAGCTCTGGGCACGGCCTCGGGGCAGCCCGCAGAGGAGAACAGACCCCCCCTTCGCCATCCCTCTCCCCACAGCCCTGCTCTGTCCTGTGGAGCTGCACCGCACCGTGACTGACCGGAGGCGGGGGTGATGCTCGGGGTCAGCTTTTGCCATATCAGGGACGGCCGCTGAAGAGCACTCTCCAGATAACAGGTCCCAACCAGCTAGGCTCAAAAATCACATCATCTCCGATTTATGAAGCCACATAGGCATGTATTTGAGGATTTGTTTTCTGAAGCATGTAAGTTATTCTCTTTACACCAACTTCAGTACTAACGTAAACAAGTTACTGGACTTTGGGAGAAGCTCTGTAAGAAGCAAACAGCTTTTTCATAGAAGTTCTGTGCAAAATGAGAGCTGTAGAAAGACATTCATTCAGACGGAGCTCCCTGTAAATGAGAAAGTTTTCCAAATATGCTGAATATATTGCTTTTTCATTATCAGGCTTGCTAACTTGGGTTAACAAGTATTTGCCTTCGAAAACTAAAGCAGACATTTCTGAAATTACTCTACTTTGTGGAGAGAAGTCTCTTCTGAAGGATGTTTTCATATTGGTTTCATTTAGATTTTTTTCAGGGAAAAGTCTTTCCATTCTTTACATTTTTCAAAAACATTAAATTTGAATTAAAAGAAAAAATTTTACACTGATGGGGTTCAGTGGACAAAATATGATGTTGATCACTTCTCTGAAATACTTCGGGGTTTTTTGCAGATATGAAATATTTCCGAACCTATGCCTTCATAAGCAAATTATACTAGACTTTAATTCTAGTTATTATTACAGGTATCAATTACTCTATATTTTAAAACAGAACACTGTGCCAACCTGGCGCAATTTCATTAACAACTAATCAAACACTATTCAATCTCAATAAGCTGCATGGTTAGCCAACTTTTCTTGTCTTTTTATTTCCTTCTTAAGCCTCTCACAGCCAGTGAATGAGTTTCTGAGCTGAGAGGTATGAATTCTGCTTTTTATTCAGGCCCTCTGACTGCGGTAAGGTAAGGGATAGAGAGTGTAAAGATAACTTGTTTCCACAGAGTAGACAGTAAAAAAAAAAAAAAAAAAAAAAATTTTCATACCGTTGTTCTGATGGGAAACCTACAAGATTAGGTGAATAGAATGGTAATTAAATATACCATAATAGACCCTCCTCCAAAGAATCAGAAACTTTTCCCTTTGCAGAAGGTCCTTCATAATCTCCGTTAATAACTTCTCTAGAGCATCCCATTTGGTCTCCAGTGCCCAGCTGAGACAGCCTCAACATTTAGGGGAAGCATGAGAAAGAACCACCTTGCATTTCAGAAAGGACACCCGCTCTTTGAGCTAGGGAGGACACATCAGAAATCACTGTGTCTTCAGTTGTGTGGTCCTAAAAGGAGTTGCAAAGTAATTTTGCAAAGGAACAAGCTGGTGTGGTGTTCCGCTGAATGATTTCAAACAAGGGCAAACTCACCCTGCGCTTCCCAGGCACTGTGCAAGATAAAACTTTTTTGAAGTCAACATTTTATTTAGAAATGTACTCCCAGCTTCAGCTGAGAAGCATGTTCAAGTACGGGTAACGTAAGTCACTTCTGTTAAAACTTCTAAAATACTTGGTGGTTTCCAAAATCCAGCAAAAATATTTGGGGTGTGTGTGTGTTTGTTTTTGTTTTTTCGTGTTTTTTTTTGGAGTTTTTGTTTGTTTAACATAAGGAAAGGGACACAACTCCACTGTGCTCTCAGCCCTATCTCCAGCACTAGCTGGGCTCCTAAATATTTGATTTTCACCTTTGCATCTCACAGCAGTGTAGTCAGGCGAAGCTACACTTCACACAGAAGATACAGCTCAGAGATTGCAATTTCCTTGCAGAGCTGTATGTAATGTGTTTTTGAAACACCAGCAGTGAAAAATACTTTATTATACAAAAGGAGAAACGCTTGTAACAGAACTGCTATTCAGCATATCTCTAGAATTTTCTGCAAATCTCTCAAAGCATATCTCCCACAAAGGGATGATGCATCAGAAGTTTGGACAAAACACGGGGATGCCGCGGTGATAAATGTGATCGATGTATAAAGACCACTAGATGGCAGGGTTAGTCGTCTGTATGAGGTTTGTCTCACTCAAGAAGTGGAAAAGCTGCTAAATTATATTGCCTGAAAACTAGGATTTGGGAGCTGGAAATTGAGTTAATTGTTTTGAATGTCTGACGAATGACAGTGTGGTTGTAAGAACAGTTAAAGTTTCTCAGAAAGCTCGTGCAAACACACCCAGAAATGGTAAAAAACATATGTTTTGTTTGAAAATGTCTGTTATGACTAACACCATTTTGCACCCTCCGGAAACCCGAGTCCATCTTATTTTTTGAAGGTTGCAGAGCATTTCAGTTTAGAATAGGAGAAAGACTAGTCTCTGATGGCTTGAAGAAGTTGAATTAGAAGTTTTGCATGGCTGGCTGACACATTTTGAATCTGGTGATTTTTTCTGACCTTAATCTATTATGTTCAGTGATTCCTTGTACTATTTTTGCAAGGTCAAGTGAAAGCAGATACCATATAGTGAACTGCCTCAATTAATCTTTTTTTCTACCAGCATTGGCTTTTCTAAGACTGTATTAAGGAAAAGGCTGGAGTCCATGCTCTTAAAAATTGTTTTGATTTCATTTTCCCCTGCTTCCCAATTTGTATTTCTAGACATATCAACAAGAGAAGTGTTTATGGAGTTATTGTGAAAACGTTTCATAGACTTGTGAGTCATCCAGTCAGGAAAAGAAGTAATGTTGGGTCCATCGTGACGAATCATGAATGCCATTTTAAAACTAAAAAAGCAGCTACAGTACATCAAGTCAGCTGGTGAAAATATGTTGGCAGGACCAATTTTGCCTGAACAGTGAATGATTAATATGTAGGTAAAGATCAGTGTTTCTGGATAACTTCCAAATCTTCTAATAATTCACCTTATTCCACAAAAGTCAATTATCCGATGACGGATAAATGGGCCAGTGTGTTCAGGTCCAAGACTTAAGGGTTCGGGCAGGGGATAAATTGCTATTTTGTATTGGAACTACTGACCTGAGCTAAATCTAAGATATTTTCCAAATCTCTCTGGAAAGAGGTATCTAGAAATCAGGATCTAAAGAATTCAGACATGGCTCAAACCAGTGATGTACTGCTACCAAAGCAAGATGCTTTTTTTTGCACAGAGAATTGCTGTCACTGTATCGTAACACCAACAAATCAAACAAGTCTTTTTGTGGGGTTTCCTTACCTTAAGCAACGAAACAAGTACATTGCAATTAATGTAACTGAAAATGTAATAGTGACCTTTATGCTAGCACTTGGCTTTTAAGAACTGGTCTGAGAGGTTAATTGTTATATATCCCCTTGCCCACCCACTCCCCACCAGTATAAAGGGGAAAACCACTTACCTCCCTGATAGGTATCACTGGAAGCAACAAATGTAAGTGACGAAATGTATGTGAAGTTTTAATTCATGATATGTTATTTTGTGGGGGAAGAAAGTTTTCACTCCTTTTACAACTTGTATGTGAGAGAATGACGCTTAGCTCTGTTAGAGTTATTGCAGACATTTCCTTTGATTTTGGAAGATTTAGGTTTTGTAATCATTTGCTCATAGCAAACAGGGAAATTCTGCATCTCTACGTTTCCAATTTTCTCCCAAGTGAAGCACAACTATACAGAAGTAATTTTTTCAAAACTGCTCAATCATAAATAACTGAATAATCATGAATAATTTTGATTTGCAGCATTTTCTCAAAAATTCATTTGAAATTACTGTGCAAACTATTACTTTGAGTGACTCTTATTTCAGAGGATTATAAAAATACCATTAAACAAGCACCTCAGTTTGTACCCATTCTGTATTTCACACATATGGTATTAAAGCTCCCTTCAAAATCTGTACTTTCATCGCAGTCCACAAAATGTCCTTCAGCAGTCCTCACATCTTAGTAAAATTGAAACCCTGGTACCTCAAGACATCAAAAATGTACTTATGTTGTCCATGAAAATTTATCATCAGACATACATTTCCTGAATCTCTAGCGTGAGATCTCTGTATTAAATCCCACTTAATAAACAGAATGGTATGTTTTACACTAGCCTGAAGTTACCAAATAGTTTACAGTCCCAGGTAGTCTGTGGGGCAAACATCAAAAGCTATGTCTATGTCTGAGAGAAGTGGTTCAGTTTCTCAGCTAGGGAAGAAAGCTGGCAGCTGGTTTTTCAGCACCAGTCTGAGGTCTTCAACATGAAAATGAACTTATGGGGGCTTGGCATTTTCTTGCGTCCTGTAAACCCTTGCTGATTCTCAAAACTTTTTATTTTCTGCATAACACCAGCTCTTTGTTCTATCCAGCACCATGTGGGCAGCCTCCTGCACCCCCCAGCAGCCCGGTGGGGCTCTGCCATCTCACCGGCAGGCGTCTCAGCAGAATCAGGAATGATGGTGTGGGCAGAAATCTGTCTTCAGTCTTCACCTCCACAGTAGCCACAGAGCTGCTTGTTCAGTCACCATTGAATTTAGAGAGGAAAGATACGTAGAAGTCTATGATGAGAGTGGTGATGATACCAAATATTGGGGTTTGGTGGTGGTGGGTTTCTTATTTTTTTTGGATTGACAAACTAATGGTCTCATCTTGTCATCCCAAATAGGATCAGGTCTATCTTTTCTGAGAATAGAGATGATGATTTAAAATGTTCTAGTTATTCAAGAAACCTGGTCACTATAGAAGCAAAGATTTTACAAAATACAACCACTTGACTTGCATCTCAGTGTAAAGTCAATATACTAGCATCCTCCACTGATCTGTAAGTCCCGTGCATCAGTTGTTTTCTATGTGCCTTTTTCCTGCCCTCTCTTCTTCAGCTGTTCATTCAGTTTTGTGCCAGTATTAGCTTTGCCTGTTGGGCTGAAATAATGGATTGGGAGGCACTGGGGAGGTGATACACGAAATGCAGCTCTCTGGCTAGCATTGCCCTGCCAGTCCTCGGCAGCATCAAGGGGCAAGGCCAGCTGGCATCGCCCAGGGGAGGCTCTTGGGCTCTTCTGCTCCATGTGAGGCCAGGGCTGCAGCCAGGAGGAATAGACTCACACTCATGACTGAGATTATTATTTAATGAATAAAGCAGGTTTTAAGTTCTTTGGGGCCTAGATCATCCTTCTTCTCTGTGCTTTTATGGAGTGTTAATTCCTACCAGGAGTTTATGGGAGCTGCTGTGATACAAATAAATAACAGTATCTGATCCTTCTGATACTCTCCCCCTTCCTTTTTCCACTTGTCCTGTGCCTTTGCACGGGGAAGGCATTTGTACCAGCTAACCTGAAAGTTTTCTGGTTTAACCTTTTAACTAAATAAGAAGCAATCATGCTCTTTGAGATATTTTCAATTCCTACAACTCATCCATGCAGCTCTTCCATATGTGTTTTGACCCAAGGCTCAGAAGCCACCTGCTATTTTCCTTTCATCTTGTTGAGCAGTTTTCACTAGATAGACCATGCTGTTTCCATGTAGTCTTTAAGAACTCCTCAACTGAAATGGAAGCTGTGCTGAGGTTATGGAAAGAGACAGTACTTTCACCATATGATTTTCAAAGCCGTGTCATCAATATGTCATTTGTTTTTTTCCTTCTCTTTTCCTTCAGAAAAACCATCCACAGTGCTGTTCCCTGCTTGAGGTTCCTAATACGGCTATCGAAGAATGACCTCCTGAGAGGATCCATAAATGAGTCATCATTCAGGACCTCTCTCTCCAGCCATCAGTCTCTTGCTGGCAGGACCAAGAACACTTGTGTTTCATCCATTTCCACTGGAGAAGCTGTAAGTCTTTTCTTGTTTCTGTGAAGGGAAGTGAGTATAATGTTTCTCTGACTCCCAGAATAAATGATGCTATAAATACATATTCAAAATTAGAGAATGGGAAAATGGGGAGGGAGTAGCTAAACTTTTGGGGTCACGTGAGGTCATTTCTGCAAAGCCTTTCTGGGAGTTCATGTGTGATGATTTATGACCAGAAAAAGCATCCAGGCCAGCATATCTGTGTCGTTCAAATGCTTTCTGGGACCATGGATGTTCAGGTTAAGTCTTTAATGTGAATTACAAAGAACCATTGTCAGGCACTCCCCATGTCATCAGCCACCTCCTATAAGTCTGAGACGGATGGAGGTCTGAAAAACAGTCTCCCATCCAAAGTTTTCTGACCTATCTAAACGCTGTATTATTATTTGAAAGGAAGTTCATTTTCTGTAAGACAGGAGACTTTTTGATTCATTTCTCTGGATTTTAACCATGAGGAGTGGAAGCCTCCTGCACCTGGAGCAAAGTGGAACGTTTTGTAAGCAGCGTACCCCAAGCCTCGGTAAGGCTGGTGGCTGAGGGAATTAGAAATAAAAGGATTCCCTTCAGAGTCTTCACGGCCTCCCTGGGCATGACCTGGCTTGCTTTTCTAGGTCACAAGAAGCCAGCCTTGCCCACAGAGGTGCTGGGGAGGTGGGTCCCGGGGTGGGGTGGCAGCCATGGCGGGGGCCAGGCTGGGGCTGGCCCTCCCGGGAACCCGCACTGCTTCGTGTTCAGCTTGGGCATAAGAAACCCCCCAGAGTGATGGCTGCAGTCAGTAGCCTTTCACGAAGGTCTGGATCACCATGATGGGCTGAGTGGCAAGCACTTGGCTGTCCCCTTGAGCCGGGTGGCAGTGCTCTGAGCAAGGATGGGGCTCAGTTGTTTGCGTGCTGTAGCCTGTAGGCTGCTGCTTTCGGGGTGCTGTCACTGAGAGTCAGGCCATGGAGCTGCATTTCAGTGAGATCGTAACTATGTTGAGTATTTATGGGAAGACTGGGGTCCTTGATTTGGAAACGGACCTAGGACCACCAGGAAAATCAGCATGAACAGTGCACCATTCTCAAACAAGATAATTTTGCACTGAATTTTCTGTTAGAGAATGGAAGTTGCTCTTTTCAGGTAACAGCACCTGGGAGATTTCTGAACTTTTTCATGGCAGACAGACAGTAAAGCAAATGCACGTGAGAAAAAATGCACTGTTTACCAGGAAACCAAGCAGTCTCAGCCAATGCTAGAACTGTGCTCAGAGTGCTGACAAGAAATTCAGACCTTCTGGCTGTGAAATCAAAAAACAGAACAAAAAGACACTTTAAGTGCCTGAAGAGAAGGTTTACTGCCTGAGATCTAATGAAACAAAATCTGTCCCATTACAAAAGATAAGGTATTTTGCAGTCTGCGCTGCTGCATCTCTTGCACATTAATCATACAGCTGCATCAGGTAGACTTCTAGTTAAAATGACTAATTGCACTTTTCTGGGTAGCTTCAGCTGCACAACTTGTGAACTGTCTGGGTACAAGGATCCTCTTCCACTTTGTGACTGTGTATCACGTGTACCAGCAGCATTTCCAGCTATCACTAAACAGCCTACAGGTTACTGTGTTACAGACAGGTAATAATGATGATAATTAAAGATCATGAACTCTCTTAAATGGGGCACATTTTGTCATTCAAAATTAGAAGGTGTTTAAATACCATGCAATAGACAAGCTTTTTCTCAGGGGAGACCTGGCCTAGAATTGACAAGCTTTTTCTATAGTGCTTCATAAAATATGTCTACCATAAAATTTCTTTTAAACTAAAGCAATAAATAGAAGAGTGAAAGGCCTCTCTTAGCCTGGGCAAAGCCCTTTTTAGCCTACCATCGTTCAGATTTGAGCCCAAGTGAGTTTGAACTGTGTGATGGGACTCTTGTGGAGTGTGATGCTACTCTACCACATCGCACAGCACAAGGCTTCCCGAATTTGCTTGCCTAGGCTCTCATGGTCTTCAGCTTTCGTGTTAAGCTGGCTGATGCTATATTAAGGCAAAAGACCTTCATGAGATTGAAACAAAGAGTGATTTGCTTTGTAGGGGCTATGAAATTTAGCATTTGCCTTGGCTCTTGAAGATATAAATAAATGTATAAATATTTTTGTTGCAATGTAAATGAAAATGAGATAATCTATCCTGCTGATTTAATTCCATTCACAGACCACTGATTGCACAATGAGGCATGAGAGTATCAACTGTGATGATTTCACAAACTGTAAAATACCCAGATTATCCTTGCAATATGAGGTTAGTATATGCAACATTCCAATATCTTACCATTAAAAAAAAAAAAATAATAAAAGAGTATATTTTGTTCGGGATTGCTTAACAGCTTAAGCAAACAGAGCACCCACACATACCTTTATCCCCCCTTGAGATCATGGTGACTACTTGTCTTCTTACACTTGTGCTTCACTCAGTGGTTGTAGATAGCACGTGTAGTGACATGGAAATATGTTGACATAGGTAAAACAGGGAAGATCCTAATTTACTTATTTCCAACCTTTTTTGCTCCTTTTAATTTTCTTTAAATTGACTTTAAATTTATTCCTAAATTTTTTCCCCATCGATCCTTTGTTTGATGTCAAATGAGGTAATTTCTGCTGGGTCACCCATCCTGATCCAAGCAGCTTTCTGTTCTTCACTGCTGGTTGCTACTTGGTTTTGGCTCATTTGGATTAGCATGCTATTGTGTATGTTTGGTTGGGGTTGCTGTTTAAAGAGACAGGTTAATGTGAATAAGAGGCTTCAGCCTTCAGCACAATTTTTGGCTTAAGAGTGTCAAGTAAAACACCTCCTGTTAGCGATGCACAGCGCTGTGTTGTCCTGAGTTGGCACAAGCAAAGGTAATTCTTCTTGGGACAACTGACAGTTCAGTGCAGTTGTACAGCTCTTAGCTGAAACAGCAGCTGCTGAAATAAAAGTTAATCTCAATGACTCTTGCATGACAGCAGGACCGAGTGAAATTCTGGAATGCTCCAATAAAGTATTGACAGGCAGGAATGACACCAGGAACACTGTAAAAGACACAGCTGTTGCCACCAACACTTTCCTCTGTGTGTTGTCTACCTGTTGATGTAGGGAGCCAAGATATCTGTGAGTCATATAAAGTGGTATTTACAGTTTGATTCTACAGGGGAAGAGAAATAAACAGGTGGCAATACATAGATGTATGAGTAAGGTGATGCAGTGGAATTATGCATTAGCTTCCCACTTGTGTGGAGCTCTATCTATCTGTCTATCTATATCTAAAATCTGGTGTCGAAAATAGTGGAATTGTCTCATCATTGATACTCAATAAAAAGCCACCACAAAGTTAGGGATAATGAATGGCCTCTGCCAAAGCCTGTAAATGAACGTCATGGTTGCAATGTCACAGTTGTGCTCCATTACTGGCATGCTCTTAGAAAATTAGTGCAGAACCCACCCATTGCCTTCCATCCACTAATAACAGTTCAAAGAAGCAAGCTCATGGGGCTTGAGAAGCCCTGGGTGTTCTGCGTGTCCAGCTGGAATGTATATAAATGTGGTTTTGGACCTGTCCATGTTCATGGTTTTGTACCAGTGGATGGTCACACAGAAAGCCATAAGCCCTATTAAACAGTAACAAGACTATGTGGTGTGGTCAACACGTTGGAGGGAAGTGATGCCATCCAGATGGACCTTGCCAAACTTGAGAGGTGGGCCTGTGCAAACTGCATGAAGTTCAACAAGGCCAAGTGCAAGGTCCTGCACATGGGTCGGGGCAATCCCAAGCACAGATACAGGCTGGATTGAGAGCAGCCCTGCAGGGAAGGACTTGAGGGGGGTGTTGGTGGATGAAAAACTAAGTATGAGTCGGCAATGTGCACTCACAGCCCAGAAAGCCAACCATATCCTGGGCTGCACCAAGAGAAGGGTGGCCAACAGATCAAGGGAGGGGATTCTCCCCCTCTACTCCACTCTTGTGAGACCCCACCTGGAATCCTGTATCCAGCTCTGGGGACCCCAACATAAGAAGAATATAGACCTGTTGGAGCGAGTCCAGAGGAAGGCCACAAAAATGATCAGAGGACTGAAGCACCTCTCCTATGAAGACAGGCTGAGAGAGTTGGGGCTGTTCAGCCTGGAGAAGAGAAGGCTCCGGGGAGACCTTAGAGTGGCCTTCCAGTACTGAAAGGGGGCTACAGGTAAGCTGGGGAGGGACATTTTACAAGGGTGTGTAGGACAAGGGCTAATGGCTTTAAACTGAAAGAGGGTAGATGTAGATTAAATGTAAAGAAGAAGTTCTTTCCTGTGCAGGCAGTGAGGCACTGGCACAGGGTGCCCAGAGCAGCTGTGGCTGCCCCCTCCCTGGAAGGGTTCAAGGCCAGGTTGGACGGGGCTGGGAGCACCCTGGGCTGGGGGAAGGGGGCCCTGCCCGGGGCAGGGGGGGTTGGAACTAAATGATCTTTAGGGTCCCTTCTAACCCAAACAGTTCTATGATCCTATGATATTTTCTCCCATTTTTAGACTTCAGGTGTTATGCAGCTATAAGCATAGCACAAGCAATGAGATAAAAAGGGGTGAAAACCATGCTGTTGAAAAGAGATTAAATAATTTTACGTTATTTCAAACAATTTTTTTGTTCAGAAAAATAGTTTAGGGTAAACAACAAGATTACACTGAACAAAATTCAAGCCTCTTCCCAGGGGTGTTTTGAATGTGAGATCTGTGTTACAACAGCTTTTTTTTTCTGTAAGTGTGCAAGGTTTCTTCTAGAGTTTGAGAACTTTTAGAATTTCAGAAAGGATGTAACTATCTGAAATCCTCCATCATTTGTGATTAGGCCTGGAGCGATGTAGAGCTTGATCCTGTAGAGCCAGCTCATAAGAAACTGCAGCCTCGCAGAAGTTATTCTTTCTCAACAAGTCTGAGACAGGAGAAGAGAGACCTGCTCCCACAGACCTGCAGCTGCAATGCAGCAACTGCAGAAAAGGTAGGGGGAAAAAGTCTCTACCAGGGACTCTCCATTTCAGTGTTAATCTTGCTACAGTACATCATCTCTGGAATAATAATTCAGCCTTTATACCCATCTGTTTCCTCTGTTGGTTTTATTTATACTGATTCCAATGTCCACTACATCCTTGTTGTTTCTCTTTTTGACTAATGAGAATGCCAATAATGACTTATTAACTTTTTTCTCTGATATGTTGCGTGTTTTTTGAAAGCCAGCATCAGCTTATAACTCTAAAGTTGCATTAAAACACAATCAGTAGCATCAAATGTAGGAAGCTGACTTCTTTGCCTGTTTATCTACCCCAATTCTGGTTCCTCGCATCCTGACCCTTGTGTCCACATTATGGCAGCTTCTTTTTATTAGAAAGTCAGGTCTGTAAAATAGAGTTTGACATGATAGAAGCCACCCTTTTTCTTCTTTTCAGTGTACATTAAAATGTTTTATTTTTGTTGAGGGGGAAGACGAGAAAGAAACTCCCATTTCTCCCTAAGGGTGGGAGAGTCTGGCAGCTGCCACCCTTCCCTCACTGAAAGAGGAGACGGTGAGTACTCAGCACATCTTCTGTGGATGCATCATGCTCATTGCCCAAACCACTGAGGTTTGGTGTCATGCTGTTGAGGAGCACCCCATTCCCTGAGGAACTGCTGAGGAGGGGAGCAGTAGGTCATGCACGAGCCAGCTTCTGCCAGAACCAGTTTCAAAGCGAGTATTTGTATGGGTGGCACAATATCAAGTGTATATCAGTGCTGCATTTTCAAGAAAAGACAGACATAGGTTTACAATCCCCTTTCTGTGGCTGGACTGAGTAACACTCACTTTTTGATGGAGGCACCCTTCCATGAGATTAGTCTAGTGCGTGAAACCAAACACCCACACCCTGGGCAGCTACAGCATCTGCTTCTGTCCCCTGTGCTCCCCTCCAGCTCTGAGGCTAATTGCCTAGAGACAGCAGAGTTTAAAGCTGGAGCTGTTCTGGAAATTTCCAGCCATCCAATGACCCGGTTCCTGCATGCGTCTGCCCTGTCTTATTTCATGTGTCTCCTTAAGATCAAGTCCTGAGAAACCTCGGTCTTTTCCCATAACTGTTGTGAATAATATTGATGGAAACAATGGCTTCAAACGTGGTGGCAGGCAACACGGGCTCAAATCTACCACCCACCTCTGCTGCCCTCCAGCAGTAGCACAGTGTGTCCAAGGTTGTAAGCAAGTGGCAAAGACAAGAGACTGTCTCCAGGTTCTGGAGGACCACTAGCTTTTGGTCTCACAAGGAAGGAGAAGGAAAATAAATCCGAGGTGGTCTGCATAAAAGTGTTCAGTAATTAAATAAATATTCCTGTATTCTGGAATTTAGCAGCAAGAAGGCTCAGATGCTATACTTTGTCTTTGAAAGACATCTGTTAGATTATTTTGATAAATAACCTCTAAACAGAGTACCTTCATGCTGAGTCTTTCAGTGGTGTTCAGTGAGATGTGTGGAGTTTATTTACATTGAGTGTTCAAAGCCTCATTTGCTTTACTTAATATTTTCAGCAAAGATTCCTGTGTGGTGTGAAGGTCCTTTGTGTGCTAGCTAAATGCAGTGCGTCAATATTCATTCTATCAAATTAAATGTATATTTGAGTGTTTCACCAATTTCTCCTTAAAAAAAAAAAAAAAAAAAAAAAAAAAAACAACCCTGAAGAAACTGCATGTTTAGGTATTTATTTTAAGGTTTTAATAACATTACTGGATTGTCTGTGACTGAATTCCAATTATAGCAGGCTCAAAAATGCTCAGTTATGGAAATAAAACTGTGAATTTGGTGCAAGTTCACCCAACTTTTTGATTTAACAAAATATAATTTTTTTTTTAGGAAAATAATCTTACACTTAATTTTCTTTAAAAAGGCCATCTCACCAGCATCTGAAAAATTTATGTACCTCTGAATTCTTTTCACTGACTGAGATCAAGACTACTTAATGCACGGTTGCAGATGAGTTGTCAAAAAGAAACGGCATCCCTCAAGTGAATGTAAAGAAGCCAATCAGCGTCCCAGGCTTGGTGCTTTCCAGAGCATAAAAACACACAGGACTGTTTTCTGGGCTACTGCAAAGATTTGATCAAACCCCATGACTTACTGCAGTTAGCTGGGATGGTAACAGGCTTGATATAGACTGACACCTGGAAACCTGGCATGGCAGTGGAGAGGCCATTTTGGAAGCATTAAAATGTATTATGAGGATAAGATGGGTTTGGATACCTGATTACAAAGTGTTCTTTGTGCATCCAGGTTTTATGTCAAGGGAATTACCCAGTGTGAAAACTATTAAAAAAACCTTGGAAGTGGTGTCCTGCCCACTAAGCCATATCCAAAAGTAACCCATCCTTCTGCTGCAGTGAAAGCAGCACTTGAAGCAGGGAGGAATGGTTCTAGGTTTGGGTTTTTTCATTCTATTGTTATCTTTGACTTGGAAGAATGGACTTTTCTTCTCTTTCAGGGTCACTTAAACAACTTTTTTTAGCACATTGTGCTTCCCTGCATTTGGGTAGGTACAGCAGCTGGAGAAATTGTTATCAGTAGGTATTGGTGAATGATTTCTGCTTGTGGAGTAGAATTACACAATGCGTCAGTATATACCAGTATCTAATTTTAAGTCCAGACTGACAGAGGGGAGAGAGAGAGAGACTAAAACTTCTGATTACTTCTTTTTTTTAGACTACAATATTTGTGTGAAAAACAAATGTGTTTGATTTTATGTCTGAAAAATCAGACCACACCCATGTTATGCAATAACATATTCTGCCAAACTACTTGCCAAGAATGAGATGATGACCCTTAAATCTTAAAAAATAAAAAATAAAAAAAAAAAACAGCAAAAAAAAACAACAAAAACCCCATCTTCCCTTTTTCATTTAATGAACCATTTAGTTTGTCAGTATAAAGGCAGTATCACAGGCCATGGACTACGCGGAGACGAAGGGGTCCAAGAAACTGATCTAGGATTTCTAAAAGATGTTTCAGCACCAGACCTCTATAAATCCATTGGAATTACATGCCTGAATGCTTTAAGAAGAACAAAATTAAATTGATGATGTTTATGACTAGAAAAGGAATATCTGCAATTTAGGAAAAAATTTACAAAACTATTATGGGAAGCTCAAGCTATGGAGAGACTGAGTGTGGCTAATTAATATGCTTTACAACTGTATTAAGAGAAATAAATAGAACTATAACTCTGAAAGAGGCTTTATAGCATTCTGAGTAAAGCTTAGTTGTACTCTGAATTCCATTAGGCTTCATGGGAATTCACATAGTAATGAACTAAAACGTGCATTCTACTTTAAATGTTGATTTTTCCCTGGGAAGGAGACACTTCTAACTTCTGTCTGTATCTGGCACAGTGATTTTGTAACCTGAACTGTCATTTTCTAGAGCAAGCCAAAATTGATCACTCATGCCTTCTGTTGCCACTGTATTTAAATATTAACTAACTGTCAAAGCTTATTTAGTTTACTCTTGATTTGCATACTATGCATGAAGATAATGGAAAGGTCACAGGGGAGTTGTCATCAGGGCCAAGCTAGAAATTAGAGTTCTCTCAAAGTAGGCAGATGAGAAATTTTGCAAAGCAAAATCACAGTCACTGTTTTTCCCTTCTTGGTTGGTGGAAGCGCTCTCCAACGTATGAATGCAAAGCCACTGACTGCCCCAAGGCAGTACCAGGAGCCATTTGGGGACACCATGATAGAGATTGTCACAAGCATGGTGAAACTTTAGGCAAATAAAAAATACAATGTGCTAGAGTCTTATGTGAGATTTCTTCCATGAGAGAGACAAACATACAATTATCTAGTACCTTGAGATGTGTTAAAAATGGAGAATTTTTTTTTTTTTTAAAACATAAAGTAATTCATATATAGGAATGGGGTTTTCCTTGCTTCTTTTTGGTCTCTGCTGATATTTGAGCATGTCTTCTTTTGCATCATTTGACATCCTGCTTTCCAAGCTGTAGATGTTAACACACCATGACTTTCCCACTTCCCAGTCAGTGATTCAGCTGTTTAGAAAATATGACTGGTGAGTCAAATAGCGACTAGTGGTAGTGACTATTTCAAATACTGGTTTCCATAATCATATGCTGTATGACAACACTGAAGGTCCTGTCTCTGCTCCAGGTTTCGCTCTCCTCCAGCTGTTTGGAGAAGGTGCTTGTGCGGTCATCCCTACACAGTCCCCCTGCAACACGTGTGACCAGCTCCCTCAGAGCAGCTTCTCTGCCTGTCGGTTTGAATAGCGGCAGTGTCAGCAGAGGAGGAGGCTCCGATACTTCACAGGTGGCAACTCAAGAAAGTCAAGTTCATGGAGTCCTGGGGTCTACCATTAGCAATATAGTCCCTCGTATCATTATTATTCCTACCTCAGAAACCAACCTATTTCGAGAGGAACTGGAAGTGGAGGAGAATGAATTATTCCACTTTCATGACAAAAAGAGCAATCTGCTGGAATTGGAAGGACTTAGTTCATCCGCGGAGTTCCTTGAAGCTGTTGAGAAATTTCTATCATAAGTTTGTCAAAGGAAAACTTTCCGGTAATTATTTTCTTGGCATCTTCTCCACTTAATTATACCAAATAACCAAAGCCTTGTAGGTTAGGTCATCAGACTTTTTGTATGTTTATATGGTAGTCACTAGGCAGCCTTCAGATTTATCTTTGTCCAGACCAGCTCAGGCATGGAAACAGGCTTTCTTTCAGATTGTGCTGCAGGAAATGAGCAGTGGAAGATCTGGCAGCGTGATCAAGTGGGACTGGTCAGGTCGGCTGCCTGCTTCATGGGGCCCTGATTTGCAACCACAGATGGAGGTGCCAGCAGAAGGAAAAACGATTGAGCAAGAGCAGGGCAGCTGCTGAATGTTTCTGCTACCTGCATGTGAAACAGCACTGCTGTGTTGGCAACTCTCCTCTGGACGGTGACAAAAAGCACCACAACACCACAGCTTTCACCAGCCCCGGTGGTAACGCAGATGGCTAGATAATCTGAACTATCTTTTAATCAAATTATTTTCAGCACTGGTTTTGGTTTAATTTGTTTTTAAATAGGCAGCTTACTAAACGTAAATAAACAAACTGATGGTGTAACTGGGAAGTGACTGCTTGCTTTTAAAGTTTAGTGCTAGAAGTCTGGATTTTACCTCAGCATTAGTGTGATGAGCTGAATGTTGAAATTCATAGTGCTATATGCTAAAACATACACTGCTACCTGTAGAAGCATTTAGAGCACCTTCAGAACTATGGTCTTAATTAAATATGTATGGATCCTAGTGAGTCTCTGATTAAATGGTGAATGTTCACAGCTGGCTTGACAAGTCATTGATAAAAATAAAGCCTTGGCTGCTATATATCACTTGTCTCTTCAGAGGAGATTCTTCTCCTCTCCTCTTCTAAAATGTCCCATCAGATGTCTTCTCCTACAGGTCACTTACAGGAGACTATCAGAGTGGGTAAAACATCGTCTCGGGTAGAAAAATCCACAATACTGTGGTGTTTGCTATAGAATCTACAGTCACATTGTTATCTGTGTTTACTGATTGTGCTTGTTTTATCTGTGCTTCATATTGTGCCTCATGCTCACAAGACCCTCCTACCATTTTATTCTTTACCGCATTCTTCCTTTCATTACTCATTTTCCCTTTTTACAACATGTTCTCCACATCCTCCTTTTAAAGTCTCTGGCTTTCAAATGTGGGCAAGTTGAACTATATTGTTCTCCACATAATGTCAGTATGTCTTAGTAGAAAGCAGGTGTTTCTCTGGATATAACAGTGCAAATATTTGGTCCAGTGAGTCTGGTAGCATTCAGACATACAAGAGAGTAAGAGTTTATGTTCATAGTCTCAGTTTATTCCCTTGACTGTACCCTAGATTGCCCAGACACCACTGAGAGCATTTCCAAGGTTTGCATATGTACTTGCTGGTCTTGAGAAGTAATTTATTTTTTCCTGTTCTCCTGATACAAAAAACAGACTGAAAGATGGAAAGCATAGAAGTACTTTTTAAATTATTTTTTTATTACAAAAGAAGATAACACAAATCTTGTTTACAAGTACCTAGACAGGAACACAACTGAAGAGCAAAGTAAACCCCAAAGCAGCACAGGAGACAGAGGAATGCCTCCAAACTCACACACCCAAGACTTTGCAGGGTGTCAGCACAGCAGACTTTTGAGAGGATTGAGACACTTGCTTTTGGTATAGGCTGTGGTCTTTTTAGGAAAAAACGCCACTGGTGGGTTAGAGGTGACTGCTGAGTCAGGCTGCCCAGTCCAATGCTAACACTCTTAATGATGCCATTACACGAGGTGCTCTGCTGTCTAGGCACCCTCATCAGAAACGAGGCCAACATACCTCCTTACCTTGTAGAGAGGAGGGGGAAAGGGTGGTGGAGCCACACCAAGCGTGTGGTTGTCTGCGTGCAGCCCCGGTGCGTGGTGCCGGGGCCAGGGCTCAGCCAGGGCAGCACTGCCCAAGCACTGCCCTCCTGCTGCCAGGTTTTCTGCCGGGGCCAGGAGTCGTGCCAAGGTGATCTGCAATCAGCTCAGTGTTTCCAAAGGCAATTCCTCCATCCGAGGGCTGGTGCAGTGAGCGGGCAGCGTGGGGCAGCTGCTGCGGACTGGGATGGGGACGTGGTCGCCTGCAGTTCCTCGGTGCCAGGATTTCGTCTGGGGCGTGGTTTTGGCCACAATGAGTAATCAAATGCTAACTGAATATAACATTCATGGTAAATGGGGGATGCTTAATCCTAGGCTAAACATACTGTCCTGCCACCTCTGATTCTTTTAATTCTTTTGCTGAATCTGTTCTCTCTGGTTTGTTTGTTTTTCCTACGTCAACCAACCTTACCTTCTCTTGCATTTGATATCCTCAGCTGCTGTATGTCGTTTCTTCTTGAGCCAGATGTTGGGAAGCAGGTGTTCTTATAAGGCTTCCAAGCCTTATACCTGACTTTTTCTGTTGTAATTACTCTAAATAACAGTAAGAAAATATATTTGATGTTCCAAGATAGAAAAACATACCCTGGAGCAAATTTTACATTCAGATGTTGACAGATTTGTACTGGTAAGACTGTAGGCAGGATATTGCCATAGTTTCTGATGGAATGAAGAAAGTAAGAACTAAAGTAACAGTCAACAAACTGCTCTGTATCCAGACACATTTTGTGTTCTCCTTGTTAGCCTATAAGATGACTCTCCAGTTATGTCTTGCATACATGCTTGTACTAATAAAGTGTGTCAGAAAACTAGTGGGCTTTGAGATATGTGCAAAGAAGTGTTTCACTTCTATACTGCTAATGTCTTATACTATTAGTACTGTTGCTTCTGAAGCTAATGTCAAGATTACTGTTTACTTCAACTGATGTAGGCTAGAATGCCAAATGAGATAACAGTAGAGAGATAAAACATGAAGTTATATGAAATATCAGATAGACTTAGCACTCTCAATGTAAGACTTTTGCAGAAACAGTTGCAGAGTAAATGAGTCTTAAATTAACTACCACAATGTAGAAAAATTTTGCAAACTTCTCTGTTGCCACATTAGAATAGATGGCACATAAAAATGTACAATATTAACTGTTGCTTCCGATTTTACGTATGTATCAGTTCATTCAAATGGAATAAAAAATACTTAGGAGTTAAACTAAACTATCCATTGTTTGGTTTTCTTATTTAATCATTAATTTCAGGATCTAGGAAGAGGAATGAAAAGGTTGAGTCAAAGCGTTTGAAACCTGAGCTCTGATGTAGTGAATACTAAGGTACATATATAACTTTATTTACATGAGCAGCTCCTTTCAAGTCATTTAGACTGCTCACATGCAACCAAGCACTCACCTACTTCAGTGCAGAGCATCCAAAATTAGAGCTCACTCACTTGGTAAAATCTGAAGTTGCCCAGCAACTTTTGAAATACGATGACTTAAACTGGGATGTCAGGAATCAGGTGAAAAAAATGGAAAAAAATTAACCAAAGTCAATACATTAAAACTGTGACAGCGGTCTTTGATCTTTGTCCTAAATCTGAATGACGGTTAACCAGCAATTGTTTGTTTCTGCTAAATCTTTGTATAACAGTTATAGGATATATTCCAACTTTCATGAGTAAAAGAAAATTCAGACCACAAGTGTAAACATTTTCTTTTACCACGGACATTTAATTTATTTTTTATAATTAAATCAATGGTTAGATAAAGGTTCCAAATAATAAGAAAGAAATAAATTATTTGGATCTTAGTGAAACTTACTGCCTTGGGCTGGTATGAAGCAGCACCTAAAACCACTTTCTTCCGGAAAGCTCATTCAGTTCCCAGACATGCATCCATTTCCCTCCTTTCAGGAGACACCCCTGAACAAGAAAACCCTTTCACTCTGCTGTATGGAAAAGGTTTATGTCGTGGTGTGCAAAACTGGAAAATACAGGGAGGCAAATAACCCCTTTTTTAATTTCCTTACTCTTTCTCCCCTCTCCCCCTCCTTTTTTTACAGCTGGTCTTTACTGATTTCCTGTGTAGGTTATCCTTGTTATTTTTCGTCTGGTTCTTTCAGATATACATGAAAACCATGTTAGCTACTGGGAAACCGGATACTTAGGTGTGTATTTTGCCATGTTTTAATTGTGGACACCTTTCTCTCATAGGAGTAGACCAAAACTGACCACAGCACTTTGGTTCAGCAAGTGCCTGTACCAGGTAACTCTAGGATGAACTCAGACAAGGTGGAAGCAGCTGAGATGCAGCTATTGTTTCTGGGTTATCTCAACACAAGCTGATGATTATTTCTTGATTTGTGCCTCATCCATAGCCTCAGTCTATAAATCAGCGTTCTGTCTGCACACCTGGAATGGACACATATTTAAGTGGAGAGTTTAGTGCTGGGATGCCTCTGTTGTGCCTGTCACATTTACCCGTGTATTAACATACACTATGACTTACTAAGAATTTAGATATCTGTCTGTATATTTTACTTGCTTTATGATGTATCTGGGTTGCACTCATGTCTGCACTCTGGTTGCACTTGTTAATGCTACAGGTGGTAGCAGGGCATGAAAAGCTAAGTACAAAATGGCAAAGTCAGTTGTAAATCCACTGTTACTAATTCTCCCCTGTGCCAGCATGGGGCTACATCACTGTGCCAGCAATCCTGGTGCCAATACTTCACGGTGAAATATCCTCAGAGAAAAATTCTGTAGGAGATAGAGTCTTATATACTGACATTTTTATTCTGAAACTTTTTTGGTCTTTATTTGTGGTTATGTGTCATGCAGACATTTTTATTTAAAAAGTCAGATGTGTTCTTCACCTCAAAGCAAAGCTTCAGAAGACCCTTGTCATCTTCAGGACTTTGTGCTGGACTAAATGAGCCAGAGGCATAGGTAATAATACACGAGGAGATGGGCTTCTGCCGTTTCCAGCAGTGCATGGTCCTTAGGGAGATGTGCCCCAGCCCCTCTCCCTCTGTGCCGAGGAGCAGGTCTGGTCCCCACGGAAAAGTCAGACACATGTGGTGTAGTGAGTGCACGTGGAAATTGTATTTTCCAGAAATTAATGGAGAACTACGTGTGGGTAGATTTTCATGGGGACAGCAGAAGATGACTCCCTAGATTTTCTCCTTGCCAAATTTCAGGTTCCTTTCCACTGTAAGCAGGTGGTAAAGTTCTTCAAAGGAACAGATGGATGTATTTAACGTTAGGAACTAATTTTCCATGGACATGCACTTGGAAACAAATGATCCCTATTTCCTGAGATGGAGAAAAAAATCCAGCCCAGAGCACACTACAAGTGTGGAAAATGTGAGACTGAACACATTCAAGTTAGGTAAATGTGAAACAAATGAAAACAGCAGCTTATAGTGGAAATTGTCGAGCCACCAGGAGTGTAGCAAAATGGCCAACTCCATCTTCATAAAAAATGTAAAAAGCTGTATCCAACCAGTTAATAAAACCCAGGTCTTTTTGTCTAACTCCACCTGCAGACAACCCAGCAGAAGTGGGCAGCTTGGTCACACTTGGGTACTGTCACCAGGTTTGACCATCTGGGAAGCAGCGCATGAAGGAAAGGGGGATGAAAAGTTTCTCTTACAAGAGCAAACTTCATTCACCTTGTTAAACCCAGCAGAAAAAGACTGAGGGGGATATGACTGCTATCTTTATACGTGTCTGGGGAGGAAAGCAGGCTGTTCAAGCGAAGTGGCAATTTTGGCACAGGAATAAGTTAGCATAAACTGTCTGTGAGTTAATGTATTCTGAAAATTACGTGGGGTTTTAAGTGTTGGGGATTTTTTTGAGCCTGGGGCATGTGAATTGTGGGGACACAAAAGAAACTTTTTCTAGTATTTTATACTGAGGTCAAGCCTCATACAAGCGGTGACATCTGGCCAGCCGTAGCTGCAGTGACAGCCATCAGCAGCCAGTCCCAGACACTGATTGCTTCAGGAGCTTAATAGTAAACTTTTTTTTTAAGTGCAAAAGCCCACACAAACAAATCCTGGTATTAAAAATGTCTTGATCTGACTAATTTGCTGATGGTTTTAAATAGGCTGAGGTTGTTCTGAGTCTCAGTTCACAGGTGACTGTCAGGAGAGTGCACAAGGCAGGATTCTTGCTGGAGAAAAGCAGCAAACTTCCTGACAATGTACAGCCGTCGAGCAAATAACTGCTTCTGATTTGCTGAGGGGAAAATTTGCCAAGCAACCAGAAGGATCTCTGTCATCCTTTTTTTCAGACTTCAGTGGAAAAATTGCCTGTCCCTTAAGGTGTTTTGCAGTGTGGAAATAACTTGACCTTCAGCTGCCTGGAAGGACCAAACCTGCATTTTGTTATATTTCCCTCCTTGCCGTCATGCTGCTTAAAATCCACACACTTTTCTGGGGCTGGGAGCTGAGTTGGTTTGGCCTTCTCCTCCTGACCCCAAATTGTGTTTACAATCAGAGTGTAGCTTAAGACAGTATTTTGCAACATCAGAGAGTCCAGCAGCAAGTGCCGAACCCCTGACAGGCCCCCGGGGCTCTCCACTACATGCCTTATCCTTCCAACCTTTAGTCTACCAGATGTGCTGGTCTGTGAGGCCAAGGGAAATGGGCAAATGAAAAGAAGACTTCTGTGGTTTTCCACGGTTTCACTATCTTGCCTATTTTGGGAGTGAGTGGTTGTTTTTTTCTTTTTTCTTTCTTCTTTTTTTTTCTCATGGATCCCTTGGCATGCATCCCTGCTGGCATAGGATGCTTCCTCAGAAAGCCTTTGTTTTTGTGCTGGTCTGGATTTATTTTCCCCATGTGATTATTTTTTCTGGAACAGCTTCTGAGCACCGCTGAAGATGCCTGGCAGATGGTCCTTCACAGTTGGGTTGTCCTGCCACACTCTGGTGTTTCTGATGCACCGAGACATTTGCTTTTGGGTGAAAATCTTCCTGTCCAGCAAGGGTTAGCAACTCAGATTTCCAGAGGAGAAACTCCCACGGCATGTTTCCGTTTTAACTGAGGTGCTCTTTCCAAACTTTTGTAAGAGAAGGGCTGAAAATGGAAAATTTAGAGGGTGGTTTTAACCACCCCACAAAGTCTGCTGGTTTGATTCTCTCTTCTTCATATGCCTCTGTTTCAGAAAAGGCTGTTTTGCACTGCTGGAACATTATCATTGCTAAAATACTGAAAACTCTGATACCACAAACTACAGAGAAATCAGCAGTTTCTCAAGGAAAAAAGGGAGAAAATCAGTGTGTAGGTGGGAATCAATGGACATGTCCGAGGTAAAGGGCAGATAGTAGTCTCCTCCACTGTGCTCCTAAAGTCCAGGCCTGGGCTCTGGCAGACACAGTGAGGCTCAGGATGGCTAATTGCAAACATCCAAACAAACCAGACTCCAAAACAACCATGAAATTGTAAAAAGCAGAGGACTACCACAGTGACTTTTTATGAGTCTTGACCTTCTTTTCAAGCTTTGCTCACCAGCTTCAATAGACAGAAACATGATTTTTTTTTCACAGAAAAATGAAAAAACAAAATCATATGGACTCAGACCAAGGGTCCAGTTGACTTAATATCCTGTTTGCAACAGTGATGAGGAAAAAGTGTCTAGGAAGAGACGTAAACCAGGTGCTGATACTTTCCTGCTATGTTCTCCCAGCCTTCAGCAGTTCTATAGCAAAATCGTATTTAATAAGCTTTCATAGGCCTCTTTTTCTTCCACAGATTTGTGGCAATTGCTTCTGGGACTCATGTAAGAGTCTAAGTACCAAAACATCCCATGGACTCTGTGGTTTAATTGTGATTTACACGAGCAAAGCCTCCCTTTACTTGTTTTGCGGCAATGTCTGGTAATTGCATTTGGTGCCCTCCATTTCTCATAGGGTGTGAGACAGTGGGTGATCACTGCCTGGGGAGCACCTTCCCTGGAGCCCCACTGAGGCTGCATCATCTCCACTGATGGTCTCCTGTCCCAGCTGAGGGGTCCCACTCTGTCCACTTGAACCCAGGAGCTCCATCCCATTGACAAAGCAGCGCAGTGAAGCCACTGGATACCACAGTCAAACTGCAGAGTTCCTTTGGTTGCTCATCCCAGGAGGAGGTCCTGGGTCATTTGTCCTTGTTCTTGCTCCTGGACACCCTGCTCTGGACCCTTGCCCCCTCCTCTCACA